GACAAGGGAAGATTTACGAAAAGGCCTCTTTGCCCCCCTCCTTCCGACGCGCTTAAGCGGGATAAAAAAAAATTCTGAAAGAATGCCTCGTTCTTGGTCAAGTCGTGATTATTTTGTCAACAAACTAGATTTGTGGAGCCGAAGCAGGACAGTGAACTCGGCTAGCTGTTTTTATTTGGCAACGTCTTCGGTATTTCAATCAAAAAAGTGAAAGCCAACTCCCTGTAACGCCGAATTGGAGCGCAGCTCTTGAGGAGGAGGAGTGAAGGGTACTGAGGGGAGGGTAGACCCATCCTCCTTCTCCTCCTCCCCCCCTCATTCTTCAATCAAAAAAGTGAAAGCAAAACAACTCCCTGTAACGCCGAATTGGAGCGCAGCTCTTGAGGAGGAGGAGTGAAGGGTACTAAGAGGAGGGTAGACCCATCCTCCTTCTCCTCCTCCCCCCCCTCATTCTTCAATCAAAAAAGTGAAAGCAAAACAACTCCCTGTACCGCCGAATTGGAGCGCAGCTCTTGAGGAGGAGGAGTGAAGGGTACTGAGGGGAGGGTAGACCCATTCTCCTTCTCCTCCTCCCCCCCTCAATCTTTAATATGCTCCGGGGGGTCACGTGACCTCGGGGGGGGGTGTCACGTGACTTCGGGGAGGGGGTCATGTGACCTCGGGGAGGCGTGACCTTGGGGGACACGTGACCTTTGGGTGTCACGTGGGGATCACCTTGGGGGTCACGTGACCTTGGGGTGACCTTCGGAGGCGTCACGTGACCTGAAGGAGTCACGTGACCTGGGGGGACCTTGGGGGTCACGTGACCATGGGGTTATCTTGGGGGTCACGCGACCTTGGGATGACCTTGGTTACGCCGACGGCGACGGCGACGCCGCTCAAGCCGGAAACGGGCGCCTAAGAGCTGCGCTCTAAAACGAAAAAAAGAAAGAGTGATAAATGGACAGGTTCACGAGACTCGAAATGTACCGACGAAGGGAAAGCGGTGCTCCATAAAAGTTAAGAACGTAAGATGGCAGCTTAGCGGCACGGTGTAAGATGGCAGCTTGGCGTTCGATCCAACGCACGTTGGGTAAAAGTCACGACGCTTTTTTACAGTTCAAACAGAGCCTGGGGACCATCGCTAAAGTGTTAGAAACGGTTTCCCAGTGGCGAGAACAAAGCTCGGCTGCCAAGGCGAGATTCCCGCTTACCTCAGTCCTGGATGCCGAATTCGTCATCGCAACCCTAGTTCTGTACGACGTTTTCTCAGTCACGCTTGTCCTGAGTGGGGTGCTCCAAAAGACGTATCTCGAAATTAACAGTGCCTCGGACATCGTGAAAGACACGATCGTCGTCCTGAACAAAAATCGGAACCCCTTCAACATCGAGAAGACTTTCGAAAAACGTTTCGCACATGCAGAAGACATTGTCTAGAAAATGGGAGCCCAACTAGATGTGCCTCGTCTAGTGCAACAACAAATGAACTGCGAAAAAATTGCCTTTAGAAACAGCCGAGTCATACTTCCACGCACATGTCAAGATTCCTCATGTGAAATCCGTCGTGGAAGACCTCAAGCAGGTTTGTCGAAAGTGGTGCTGGAGGTGCACTGCCTCGACGCACTGTTGCCTAGCCACGTGAATGACAAAGAAGCTGAAGCAAAGCTTAGTATCTTGGCAGCGAAATACGGCGTGCTCCTCGAAATGGGAGACGTAGCATTGCAAACCATCCTCAGAGCCAAATTTTCACTGTGCGTGGTGAAATGAAGACGAAAACAAGAGAAGGGGTATCTTCCATTGACGGCTGTGGAGACACTTCAAGAGTGGGAGCCAGAGCTGTATCCCAACATCAGGACTCTGCTGCGCGTTCTCGCAACACTGCCAGGTAATGTTGCGACGAATGAGCGGTCCTTCTTTACCTTTCGTCGGTTTAAGACTACGATTAGATCGCGGTGTGGCGAAAAGCGACTCAATGGTCTTGCCCTCCTCAACGTCCATCGAGATGCCAACGTCGACCAGCAGAAGGTAATAGATTGCTACGCGCAGGGAGCACGACGACAGAAGGCGATGTTCGTGCTGTGAAGAACCCTTAGTTTGATAACTTGTGTAAATAATTATGTCTGTTTACTGTCCTCACAAAATGTAGGGGGTTGTCTTCTTCCTCTCATTAGGTAAACGTGAATCTGTTCAATAAATACTTTATATGTTTTTCCATTCAATTTGCCTGGGCACTGCGCGGAAGAACATTGGAGCTCGGATTTAGGGGCGAAGCACCTTAAGGGGTATTCACACGAGGGAGAAATCCCGGGGATTTCTCCCCGGCACGCGCATCCCGCGACGAAAATGGCAGGCTTCGCGAAGTGCAAAAGCCTCGCGTTTTCATCTCGGGATGCGCGCGTGCCGGGAAGAAATCCCCGGGATTTCTTCCTCGTGTGAATACCCCTTTATCCGTCCGGCGTCCGTGCTCACATCGATCTTGCTGGTGCTCGTGCTCGTGATCGTGCTCGTGATTTCACGTGCTCACGAGCAGGTGCTCGTGTAGGGAAAAGAAAAAAAAAAGAAGAAATGTTTGCACAGTCGACAGGATTCGAAGCTGTGCGGGGAGACGCCAATGGATTTCTAGTCCATCGCCTTAACCACTCGGCCACGACTGCGGGACGAGTAGGGGGTTCTGAGATGTGGTAGCAACTCGAGAGCTGGGGTTTCTGTCATGGATGAAACGTTGCATGTAGCCGCTCAACGTCTAAACAGGAGATGGCGCTGCGGTCAAATGCGTATATAATCGCGTTAAACTTTGCATGCATTGGCTCAACGTTTATAGACGAGAGGGAGCTACGGTCAAACGCTCAAATGCGTATATAACCACCTTCCATACCACATATTCTCTTTCTGACATGGATGAAAACAAACGAAAAGCTCGGCATGCTGCGGCTCAATGTCTACGCAGAGCACCACCAGAGCTACGCCCCAATCAACATCATTCACAACGTGGAAATGCGGTCATTTTTTTTTTGTTTTCTATTAGTCTCACGCTTTCATTACAAGACCATAAAAAATCAAACAGTTATTTTTGTTTGGCTGTATCTCGTAAAACACGTAGTCAGTGAGAGTAAAGTCGCTGAGGAACCCCACCCACTGTTTCCCTATTAGAGTTTAATTACTCCAATAAAATGTTCAAAATGCCGTCGCGTCACACCATTCTCAAGAACTGTGCATTTTTAAGATTGAGTCAATAAAATGAAAATTAAAAAATCAAGACATTTTGATCACGTTCGTCAAGGAATCAGAATGTCTATACATTATTCGGCCTTCCTACATTTGTCTTGTTAAAAGATCCTGTCTTCTCCGGTCTCCGTGGTGCTTTTTGTCTAAATTAATGTATCCTATTTGGTCGAGTCTCTGCGAAAGGTCTGTCACGCCGCGTGGCTCAATTGTCTGTGTTGCTTAAATGGAGACAGTCACTGTTCAGATGTAGAATATAGAACCATGCACACGTATGTCTCTCCCTCTCTCTCTCTCTTAGTACTCATGGTGCAAATCTTTGAACCACTGAAGCAGCAAGTGAGAGTTTATAAAATAGAACAAGAAACGAATAAAATTTTGTGGGCATTTTTAGGTTGTAAGAAATGTTAAACACGACTAATAGTTTCCTTTTTATATACTCTAAAAATTGCTATCCCGCGCAAACTAGAAAAAAAATTACCACCGCCGCTTTCCTCCTCCCCTCACCTCACCCCCCCAACCCCCCCCCCCCAAAAAAAAAAAAAAAAATCATAGCCATTAGTTTGTCCTTGGCTCCAGAGGCACATACGATTCGACGCACCTTGCTCTCGCGAAACACGTATATATGGCGTCGAATCTTGATCGATATCCACGCGTGCAAAGGCACAGAGACGCAACACTTTGGCATGCCAAGGATGCCTTGACCACGCCGCGAGACCACCGAAACTTGCTTTCGACGAGTTGTGCCGTTCTCCTGCGGCGCCGCGCTTTCGTAAAACTTTTTATGTGTTTTTAAAGGCAACTCTCACCGTTTTCAGAGGGCTTTAAAAAACTTCTTCGGCGAATAGTAACAAACGAGTAGAAAACGTGTCTTCAGCACGCTGCTTCCAGCCTCTGCAACGCTCCAAAATCGTTACTTTGCTGTATGCAAGATGGCCGCCCGTAGGCCGCACTCGCGCTCCAGCGACCAAGCGGGGATGCGGGATCCTGTAAATTGTCATAGAGATCAGTGGTCCCAGCCAGAGCCTTATATGTAGAGAGTTTGGCCATTCATTGGGACATTGCGAAGTATGGGAGACAAATGAGGAGGCACCATTGGCCGAAAACGGACTGGGCGTGTTCCAGGGCGTCTTTACGAATTCGAATGTGGCCAACCAGAAGCCGCAAATAATACCCTGGTGGTGGTCGCGAGAAGCAAACCTAATAAGCGCGTCGGAGTAACTCTCGGTGACCGAGAATATGGTGCACGTGATGTTCCAATCACGGTCATCCAAAAGCATTGTGGAAGAGTGCGACTAGCGGAACGATCGACATAATCCGTACGCCAAGCGCCAAGGGCTGGGAATTGCCGTCCGAGCGGTCACACTCTGTCCGAGCAAAACAAAGTTGAGTTTGAGCGGCATATTCATTTGTAACATCTTTCTGCACGATCATTATGGAGACATCACGTGCACTCTCTCTTCAACCATACAGGGTTACTACACCTCACTCTTACGCACTTATTAAAACCATTTACCAACATATACCTTTGATTAAAACTGTTTTTCGCTACCACCGCTAGGGGATTCATTTAGGCTTTTAGTTGGCCAAGAGAGCATTTCAAGCCCACTTTCTGCGTCCGGTGCACGCCCTGGCTCTGCCCGCGCCTCCCACTGACAAAACTCTCTTACACGGCTCTGGTCGCGGCCGAGTTGAGACAGCAGTCGTGTTCAATCTGCTCCGCGCTAGACTCCACTAGGTGGCGTAGACAGTTCGCGCCCTTGTCATCAAAGAAGTGTTGGTTGACCCATGCGCCTTACGTGATATGCGGTAGTGGAGTCGGAAGCCTTTGCCACCGATGCTCCAGTCGCTGCGGAACATGACCAAGGCGGAGGAGGAAAGCGTGTAGTTGCCAGGCGCATTCCGTCCACAGGCGCGCACCAGCTCGGGGTCTCGCATCAGCGTCCCGGAGAACACGGTCACGTTGTCGTAGCTGCAGTCTTCCGAATCTGCGTGCAAGGCACCCTTGGCTGCGAGACTGAACAGTACACCGGAAGCAAGACCTGCCACTGCCGACCGATCGCTAGGAGAGGGCTGCACGCGTCGCTAGCTCTGCTTGGGGCAGAATGCATTGCTGAACATTATACTGTTGGTCTTCGTAAAGGGACGGAAAACATAGGCGTCCATCATGAAGAAAAAGCAGCGCACGGGGACAAGGACACAAAGATGGCGATGTGTGTCTTAAGCCGCACTGTCCATACGTCGTACAAAGGACACGGCGTACGCTGTAGACGCGATGACAGGATGGTTGGCCAACATGCTTCAAGCTTGTTCGGTGCTTGTTTGCCTAACATATGCTCAGAAGGTGTCCACTTTTAAAACATGAAATGCTTTGTAACGCTGCCCCCAATCCCAATGTTCTGTCCACCCGTCCGTGCATTTTCCGCTAGATCTAGGGGTGAGAGTGGCGTCACGTGATCTATACACCTCGTGGAGGTTGACGGCAGGTGACCTATACGTGAAATCAGTTTCGACGTTAATTTTAGCGGGAAAATTCACGTCTTGCGGCCAAAACATCAATTCAGTTTTCCGCTAAATTTAGGGGAAAATTTACCGGGACCGTATACAAAACTCAGTCACCCGCTAAATTTAGCAAGAAAATTTACGTCTCGTGACCGAAACACCAATTCCGTTTCCCCGCTAAATTTAGCGGGAAAATATACGTCACGTGACACCAATTCCCATGCATGATAGAACTTTGATGGCAAACGTCGCTGCCAATGTTTTGCATGACCATTGTGAAAGGACCACCATACAAGGAAGAGACAAACCCCAGACATTGTTTGCAGACTGCCCTTTGTATGGTGTATAAAAGGAGTGTGAGCGCGGCTTTACGCGTTTCTTTGTCGTGCCTTTGTCTTCGCGCATTGCTTTTTTCGCCATCTGTTGTTTTCCAACTTGCCCAGCTTACCAGCCCATACTTGATCATAACTGTCGGAGATGCTTGCCTTTTATCGAGGTCAAGTATACATAGAAATGCCAAGAAATGTATTCGATAAAATATAGGGCGTTCAAATGAATCTCGTAATTGTTTCCAGTCAACTACGTGCCAGTTGCTCATACCGAGGCGGGGGAAACACTGTAAAAGCCTGCAGCAGCGATGTGACAAACGCAAAAAATAATGTATCGGAAGGCTGTACAAATAAAATAGAAGAATTCGGTAACCTCGGGTGCTTCTTTTGATTGCTTAGAACTTAGCAACGCTACTTAAACGGTAATACTGCCACGAGCATTCTGAAATTTTTGAGTATGAATTGCTTTTAGGAAATAAATGTGACCGAATTTTGTCGGCCAGAATTAGCATAAAAGAATAAAACAGGACCGTTAAACGACAGTTGGAACATCGTATGATACAACATTGTGAAAAACCCGAGGGCGCTTCTGAGCGGGACCAGGCAACGAAAAGGAGGAGCAATAAAAGACTCGAATGGTGGATGAAGGTATGAATAGTGTCAGGGGTGATTTAACGATATGCCTACCTTCCAAGTCGAAAGTGGGCGCGTCAAAACTCAACTCCAGATGATCTCCCGGTTGCACCACAATCAGGTAAGAGCAATTGAGGTTGTTGGCGTAGCTCTCGGGGAACCTGGGTGATGTGATGGTTCCCTCGGGCTCCGTGAACACGTCACCGCAGGCTGAAGAGAAAGATCACGCAGCAGGCTCGTGGGTGCGGCTACTGACCTCTGTCAAGACATCAATGCCCACACACCTTTTCCCACGACCATCTCGAATCCGTCACCCTGACGGCCATTGCCGTTCGAGCGGAACAACACGCGTGCTCGATGAGTGCGTGCTACTAGGGGCTGCGGGGCATGGAGCCCACAGAAGCGTCCCATGGAAGTCCAGGACCCTTCGGCGGTCTCCTCGAACACCTGGATCAGAAGGTCGGTCTGTTCGGGGCCGTATTTGAGGTTCACGCGACACTCACCTGAACGAAATCTGCACTGCAGTCCGCCGTTGTCTCGAGGTCGAAGCGACCTCGGAAGGCGATTCTGGCGCGGTGGCCCTTCTGGACGTCCAGTGTCCAGTCGCACTCCGCATTGGCCGGATAGGCGGCCGGACGGTTGGGTGTCGTCACTGTCCGGTCTCCCCGAGAGTGGACCAGGCCGCCACAAGCTGCGCCAAGGACGGTGCTCGGACGGATGCGAGGACAGCTTTTCGACACGCTGTTTTTATGCCTCAATAGGTGCCATACCGGTGGGACACAGTTTTTTGACCGACGTTTCGTCGACAGACTGTTTTGCATGCACTGCGATCTTTTATCGATAGTCCCTGTCTTCGAAAGCTCTCGCGTTCGTTTTGTAAACTCATCTTGTGACGCTTCATCGAAGACGTTTTTCTGTACACAACGAATCGGCCGCCGCTTGCCAGATACTTGGAGGTCACGACGAGGCTTGGCGAAAGCTTGCGCATGATATTATAATACAGTTTCTCCAAATGGACCGAAGCGAGGGGTGACCCTCCGTACCGCGGTCTAGTGTAAACCTAGGATTAGTGTTTGGAAATTCTTTTCGTGCTTTACCGAAACCGCTTCGGTGGCTCCGTTAGAATGCGGATACGCTTCAAGCAAACCAAATGAAGCCAACAGCTCCATCGAATTCACTTAGCACAAAAATATGATGTCAACGAAACGTCACAAAGAGCATCTGTCCACGGAACGAGTTTCCACAAAACGTCGAAGTGTCGACGAAACGTGTGTCGATGAAAAGTTCTTTAGAAAACTTGTTTTCACCCTACGGGTTTTGAGAAAACTATACGGGCCTGTGCTGTACAAGAGCGAGAGAAGGCGCCGCAAGGACAGAACGTTTCGTGGCCGTCATACCCACCGAGTCCTGAGACCGAGACGCTGACGTTGAAGCCCTTGGCCGAACCTTTTCCGTCGGAGTGAAAGAGAAGCGAGAAGGTCGGTCCCTGCAGCAGGCCGGGACCGCGCAAGCCGCAGTAGCTGTCCAGCGTTGGCGACAAGCTGTTGCTGCCGGTGCGAATCTCCACGAAGTCCAAGCTGCAGTTGTCTTCAAGCGCGAAGCTGCTGAAGTTGAGCTGCGAGCGCGTTCAAAAGTGGTAAGAGTTTGAGGAAAATCTTCTATGATAACTTGAAATGCAGATTGCTGACACCTTTTTTACGTATCTAGAGCACCCGTTGCTTGCCATAACCCCAAGTAGGATGCCTTCATGTGCGTTTTGCTTATATAGGTGGGGATATCTCGCCCTTTTGTCCTACACGTTTATGTTGTTGTTTTTTTCAGAAGCGCGTGAAAGAGGGTGTCCTGCACTTGAAACAGTGTGTTCCTGTCGCGTGAAAGAGGGTGTCCCTGTCTGCTTCTGCACGGACTCTGAACCGACTCCGGAGCCGGTGGAGGATCTTGAGGAACTGGATCTGAATTTCTTCAGTACTGGGATGAATCGAACGCACCAGTGAAGCGACCGTGCAACTTCCGGTTAAATCGAATGTGCCAGCTCTTGCATTGCTGAACTAGTTCAGCCAGCTCAGGCGAATCGGAACAGGCCTCATTGTTCGCGCTGCTTATGCCATGGACAAACCTCGGTGCACAGTTCGTCGAAAGCGCGTCCATCGCAACCTCCGCGTCTGGCTCACCTGCACCTGCGTTCCCCAGACCTCGGGAACGACGACCCAGAGGCAGTCGGTGTTGGCGGGGTAGTTGGACGGGTAGCCCGGGCTCGTGAACCACATGCTGCCGTCGGCGATCCTCAGCCGGCCGCCGCATTCTGGGGACCGGGGCAGACTTTCAGACACTCTACCGATGAACGAAAGGCAGCAAGTTTCAAAGCTGGCAGGCACCACGTTGCGAAATATTGGCGAATTCCGCAATCACGAATTATGCTTTTCCAATACGACTGTTCATATTGTCGTTCAAATGTGGGTTCCATTTTGATTTATCACATATCGCGTAATCGTTTTTTAACGCGATAGAGTTAAGGAGCTCCTGTCGCAGAAAAGCCAATGTCGGTGGCGTGACGCAAAAATCAAGGATTGGTCGAGAGCCACATGACATCGCGCGGGAATTTCAATCAACACTTACGTGAGACGTGACGTCACACATGTAATGAAGGTGAACAAAACATGACGTGTAATGCGAATGAAAGCTCACCGCATGTCTCAGATGATTTCAATTTACGAAGTAATCAATTTGCTTTAATGCAAAAGTTCAAGAATTTTAGGCGGGATGAACCCTTCGGTTGGGAGCCAGACACGCTGCTGACTAGGCCACGCATGGCACGCTTGCACGGCTTGGGAAAGAGTGGGAGTACATGTTTTGCTATCCTCTTTCACTCTTAAAGGGGCGGTGCAATGATTTTAACACTGAACGAATGTGCAGCTTGTATTTTTTATATTGTTTACTTCGGCATAAGTAAGAGAAAAAGTGCCACCGTACCCCAAAATACCTCTATTTTGCTGCGTAATCGCAGAAGAAAAACCCCTTTTTTTCCCAACCTGCGGCCACATGGTGGCCGCAAATGAAACCTGTGGTGTGGCGTCATTCGGAGTGGTTTTTGTAAGTGATAGTGTTAGGCAATTGTAAGCTTGATTTAAGGTTAAGTTTAAAAATCTTGTTGTTTAGGCATGCAGAAACGCTTCAAAAGCCTAATATTGCCGCTAAAAGGGTATGAACTCTTTGTGGCGCCATCTACCGCAAGTCAACAGAACCTGCCGTCGCCGTCATCCGTCGACGCCCGTGGCGCCTACGGCGGCTACACGAGCAACCCGGACGTTTTGTCTTTCCCTCGCTCGACGGAGTGCGTTGGTCGTGGTCCGTAGTATCGTGGTATCGTTATTGTTCCTGGTGTCTCGACCTCGACTTTGACTTCGACTGCCCACCGCGCCGCCATGTTGGTCGGGAATCGACGGGAGAGCGGGAGAGCGGCGAGCCTGGCGAGCCGGCGAGCGCTGGGGAAACGGAAGCCAGAAGAACCCAACCGGAAACCAACGCCACTCCGAATGACGTCACAGGCGAAGCTGGTGCCGCTTCAGTGTTGAGTTGAGGGGTGCCGGAGATACCAATTTCTTTTATTTTTTTAATGAAAACTAGGGCAAGTAGGAAATAATAGTTTTCGGTCCTTCCTTTTATATGTGGCCGGAATCAATTCCCGCAATTAATTAGCCAAAGTCCGCAAATTGTTGCACCGCCCCTTTAAAGTCGAAGCGTCCGCAATTTTCATTATGCTGCTTGAGAACTGCTGTAGACAGTCCAGAATGTTTTTCGTCGAGGTCCATGAAGTCTTTAATAACATTTAAAACCAATTAAATCTATTTAAAAAATCTGACTGGCTTCGTCCCGTAAACGGGTCTCCCACGCCGAATTAACGAGTTTTGTATTAGCATTACCGTATTTAGAATGTTTTGTTTTGTGTATGAACGTAATATCACCCTCGATCCTATTATGTTTGATAATGTTAATGGGAAACATTTGATCTGATATTCAGGAGCTAATTCGTCATATCACATTTGTGTGCACATTACCCCTGTATTCACATTATATCCAGTTTAAAAAGCGCGGGCCATTTATACTCCTTTCAACCCTAAGTTGAGACTGCGGCGGGAGCTACTTGCCCACCGGATTAATTATCCGCCTCCCTTTTATCACGTGATACGGCTCTCTGCGTGTGGGTACGGGTGGGAGCGTGATCACGTTGCAACAGACAGACGTACGTCCGGCCCAACGATGACGTACACCCGTGAGCGATTTGAAGGTGAACAGCCCTCTTCTTGTTTTTGACGCTCCTGCAAGTTTTGAACAAGCTCTGTTCCAGAAGAGGGCTAGTACGCAAAGTTTAGACCCCAAGCCACGTACCATTTGAAACGTTGAGAGTTAATATAGCTTTAGGGAGCCGTAAAACAGGCAAGAAACCAGGTAAGGTGTTCATATTGCCGGCGAGTGTACCTTCCACTGAAGTCTCAGCTTGGGGGAGACCCAAGTATACAGCAGCTGCTGCGCCACTTATCCGAGTTCGCCATTGTTTGGGCGCGTGCTCTCAGCATGTATGCAGCATGCAGCATGGATTGGACACGAAGGTTGCGTCGACGTTTGGCGTGAACTAGGCTGCTATCCGACGCTTTGTGCCCAAGAAGCGGCGACCTCCAATGTTGCTCGATGGGCTTTGGAAAGGATCTCTTGAAGTAGGCATATAACAGATGCGCGCCGTCGTCTGCCTTGGTTATACACGTAGCCACGGACGGGCAAGTGCATATTCGGCTCGCCCAAAAATACCACCGCATTTAGTATCACCTTCAACAAAAACTGAACGATCATATCCTCGCAACAACCTTCTTGACTCTATGAGTTCTTTGGTTCTTTTTTTTTCGCGGCTTCCAAACGTTCACGCTACATGAGGGTCAATCCTGTACTTCGTACTACACACTGCTCGGATACTTGCGTGTGATTTAAATCCACTTACTAGAGCAGCGCCAGTAGTTGGCTGCCGACGACACGGCCGCCCAAGAGTCTACGTAATGGCTCGGGTTGCCAGAAAGCCTACGGCTATGTCCTTGCGGGCTGTTGGTTTGTCGTGTGCGTTGGGAGATTTTCAGGCCCATATAGATGTCTCGATTTTTTTTATTCAAATCATTTGACTGCAAATTTCATTTAGCTTGCAACGAATCTAGAGCGGCGATAAGCCTGGAGTGGGTGGAGCGAATATAAGGAGAATGAACGAGGAAGTTCGCCTGGCGGCACGCTTTCCGCGCAGCATGAACAGCTCCGACACCGTGCGCAGACTGAATGGCGCTGGACAAAACACGTTGCTCGCTTGTATCATATTTGAATAATTTCTGCAGGACTATAGAAGTGCTCGGGAGAACATCTGCCACGTACATGCCGGCCGCCACGGGAACTGACAAACGATAACGGGCCGGATTTTGTGTAACAATTTCATTGAATTTCTGGCTGGCAGAAATATAAATAACACTAAAGGTAAAACACACTCAAACACATGTGCAAACATTTAACCAGAGAAAAAAAAATCATTACAAAAAAATCCACTGATGGATTCTTAAACGGCCCCTAAAAAGGAAAAAAATAATTAAAACAGTCTGTTCGGGACACGCAGGTCGAAAAATTATCTCTACACGAAAAACAAAAATGGTTTCAGAGCAATATTCACGGCGCGAGATTTATTTTAAAGTCTGCGCACAAAGTCCATGATGGCACGGAATGGTGATGCACTCTCTCCACCTCATTGTGATGGCCAAGCCGATCCACCTCTCCTTCATGCGCCCGAAATGCCGAGAGAGAAAAGAAGTGGAAAGGAAAACTCGTGGAAGAAAACTATCGACTAAATCGTGTCTCGCGCCGTCAATAATGCTCTAATTTTTTTTTCTTTTCATGTAAATTTGATTTTTTGACGCGCGTGTCTCACCCAGACTGTTTAAAAAAGCTTTTTTTTTTCTTTTCTTTCTAGGGGCTCTCTAAGAAATGCTTTAGCATGACCTTTGGAAGCGTCACACATGTCCCCCTTTGGGAAACCCTAAAGGCCGGTTCAGACACTTGCGTTTGAGTGCGTTTGACTGCGTTGCGTCGAGTACCGAAAGCGAGTCACCGGCACATCTGTGCTTCGTATGAAGCGTGGAATCCAATTCAAGGAATCATCTTGGCACCCGATATAAGCAGCAGGGATGTCCTGGTTTCTCGCTGCCGCAACGCAGTCAAACGCACTCAAACGCAACTGTCTGAACCAGGCTTAACGTTGACCCCATCACTTTCCTTTCTTACTTTCTCTTTGGCTTCCTCTTTTTAGCCTCGTTACGGAGTCAGTGTTAGCGTTTCCTAAAGAGAGACGCGTGTTGCGCTTCCCAAGGATCATGCTAACGGATTCCCGAAGAATCCACCAATTGATCTTCCGGTAACTGTTTCGCCCCCTTTTTTGTACTCTGCCTCTCACAGTACGTCGATGCCCTTACATGCGGTCATCCATATCACTCGTGGAAAGAGCCACATCCATACCTCTCGTGGAAGGAATTTCATCCACATCACTCGTCGAAGGAACCGCATCCATCGTTTTAACTACACACACCCATCACAGCCAAGGCACCGCTCCTACGGAAACCAAGAGTGAAGAACAACCGGCGACGACAGAGCGGCAACTGTGCATGCACGCCCGCATTCCACCGCGCCACGGCGCTACACCTCCGAGGTAACAATGCCGCAGTGCTTAATGAGATGGCGTGATCGGAGAAGGCCAACGCTGGGCACAGATTGGACACGACGATTGCGTCAACGCTTGGGTCGAACTTCACTCAAAGCCGGGCACTCATGCAGCACTCGTTTTCAATCTGTGCCCAGCGTTGGCCTTCTCCGATGACGCGATCTCATTCAGCACTAAGGCTTTGGTATCTAGGAAGTGTTGCACGGCGCCTCCTCCCCTCTGGCTCCGCGCCAGCTGTGCGTGTGACTTTGACGAAAACGAAAGGGCTCGTTTTGACGAAAACCCGTGGTTGTGTGTCTCTCAGTTTGTCAGCTCCGGGAAGAAGTGGAGAGTTTGACGCGTGATGACGTCAGCGCTTCGGGCCAACGGGAGTGTCGCACGCGTCACCATATCCCCCTCCCTCTCTAGCTCTCGTCTCTCTCTCTCCGTCGCTGACAAACTAAATACACCGCCGGGTTTCTGTCAAAACGAGCGTTCTGGTGCTGACGCATTGAAAACGATTTTCTCACTGTGCATTATTTTCCAAAAAATCGAAAAAAAGGAACGCAACATCGGTGGGCATTTATCGTCGAGACATTGGAAATAGGCTTTTCACAAGACCATGTGTCTAGATACCACGTTTCTTTTTTTTCTTCAGATAGCACGTTCTGAAATTTGTACGATGTTTTCTTAGCGGTTTTCGCGCATGAATTTGAGCCATAACGGCCACTACAACACCTGGCCGTGACTGAAGCTGTCCAATCAGCACGTCAGGAAAACACCAACTTGGCCCAAGTCTGGCAATCCTAAGGGCCTAATCTGCGCCTGATAATGTTTTGCTCTAAAGCTCAAGTTGAACTTGAAGTTCGAGGTTAATTTTCGCAGGAAAGGGGGCAAAGGAAGTAGAAAAAAAAAAAACAGCTTGACGAGATTCCTACCACCCTTAGTGTTCAGCGATGGACACGGCGTCAAAAAAAATCACCATGCGGAATTTAATAAAATTATTCAATATCTTCTACAGCATTGGATATGTTTAAAATAATACTAAACACCACTAATAATGACACTGCTATTTTGCTTCGCTACATAACTGTCAAAGTGCCAGACACGAACCAAAGATACCATGTACAAACCAAACAACCCACGGAGAAGCCTAATCTTGGCACTTCTTTTGCAATTTAGGCCCAAAGTTGGCAGGCGAAAAATAAAGTTCCAATAGTAAAGCCTAAATCTGGCATTTGCTAGGGAACTGAGGCCCAAAGAAGCCAGGTTACAACCGAACAGGTACCAACCGAACTCCTAGGAAGTGAAGCCTAACTGTGGCACCTAATTGGAAATTTAGGGCAAACATAACCAGACACTGTCCACAGAATATCAAGTTTTGTTATAACGGCCTTTTCGGGCCTTCATAGCCATGAACTACCAGACAAAAAATACAGTGCCCCAAAGATTTCTAGTTGGATGCTAAACGCTTGCGCAAACAGGAAAGAGGGCTCTTCTAAAGCAAGTAAAATGGGAGAGAATATCTCAGTACAAGGTCCTGGCAGCTACTTGCTCAGTTATCGAAAAACGCCTAGCAGTGTCACGAGGAAAAGAAAACAGCACCAGCTGAGTTGCTTTTGAAGTGGCCAGCTTCGAGCAAAAAACTAAAATAGTCCGCATCTGGTGTACTCATCACGCTCCAAGTTGTTGGCTCGCGAGGTTTTTTATGACTCAGTGATGAATAATAATCAATATTGCTTAAATTATCTTTGTGCCAGGAGGAGTATGCTGCATTTTTTCGGCCTAGCTTATTGTTGAGTTATATTTCGCTTGTCATGCTGTATTTGTTTAAAACAAAATTGGGCAACCTATTTATCATTTTTTATTGTTCCATTGTGCGCTTCTTTCTTCTCTAGACATTGCCAGAAACTTTGCGTACGCACTCGTATCATAGTTCCACGAGGGTCTGGAAATACAATAAAACTAATAAAAATAATAACTTTAGCCGCATTTTTTATTTTTCTAAAGTTGTGACCGATTTGGCGCCTTGCGTGCCATTTTATTTTTAGCCAAAAATTCTTTCAGAAACTTCTAGAAGTTGCATACCTCCTCCCATATTTCTAGCCAATAAAAAACTTCTTGGCAGATTCGCGGTAGTCGGCTATTTCTACCTATAGAATAAAGGCCTGAAAAAAAAAAAAAAAACAAAAAAAAAACAGCTGCAGTGGTGTGTTTTGAGCAGTTCTCGCGGACCCATACAACGGTCCGCTGGAAGCGTGCGGGAAATATGCAAAATATAAAATTTTTATTAAAAAAAAAGGACTGAGGGGAACGCCTGAAACTCACAACACTATCCAAAATTACTTATCTATCATATTTAAGGGAACAAATAACAACTATATAATACGCACAAAAATGTAAGCGGAAATATTTAGGGGTCATATTCTCAAAATCAAAATTATGAATGCGTTAGCACTGGTACCCACACGACAAGGAACTTTCTGACGGTGTCCGTCTCCGGTCAAAACAGTGGAAAAAGAAGCGCGCCGCGTAGAGAGGAGGAGAGCAGAGAAGAACAAAGGCGAGAGGGAGGCGACGTCCCGGGGTGGAAGCCAATCCGCTCCTGGATGCTGGGGCGAGTCCCAACTCACAACAGCGTGAGGCAGCGAATGCCGCTGCTAAGCGTGCAAGGGGAGCGAACGACACAGGAAAGCAGAAGCAGCGCCTAGCTCGGCTGTCCAAAATGAGGCGCCAAGAGGTGGCAAACCAGCGCTGGTCCGCGTGGGGTAGAAACCGGAAAAAATTAAAATAAGATCCATTGGCGGATTTTTAAGGAATGCGTTAGCATGACCCTCGGGAAACCCCACACGTCCCCATTTTGGCAAACCCTAACACTGACGCCGTAACGACGCCAGAAATGGGAAGCAAAAAATAAAGCGAAAAGGAAGAGTGAAGAGGTCAGTGTTAGCGTTTCCAAAGGGGGACACGTGTGGCGTTTTCCAAAGTTATTCTAACGCTTTCCCTAAGGATCCCCTAATGGATGTTCCTTAAAAAAAAAGACTATGTAAAAAATGTGTAAGAGAAAATTTAAGCATTTAGAAACTGTTTGCTCGCTGAATGACCATCACCCACTTTTCTGCGGGACGAACAGGGTAGAATAGAATGTTTCTCGCGCGTTCTATCTCACTAATGTTTTTAGGTACTTTGCGCAGTCCAACAGCGGCGTACGCGACGGTCGCCGGAAGCACCAACCGTTGATTCGGTACGCAGCGCTGAGTTGTCCCGAGCCCTGGGGCCTCTTCACGTAGTACACCGTGGTAGCCGAGTCGTCCGGGACCATCACCTCTCGGTCGCCGTGCCGGCACATCCGCCCTGGGACAGGAAAACGGTTCTTCCATATTCTGATGCACACTTGCTCTTTATGTGACCGAGGGCTACGCGGTGCGAGAGACGCATTGGGGAGTTTTCGTAGACCGCGCTTCCTCCCCCGCTAAGCGTTCCGCAACGAAGAAGACTGCGCCTGCGCGCCGATAGCCTCGACTGTGGAGTTCCCGCTATCGTAGCGGGTTGCGGAGTGCCTTGCGGGACGGCGAAAACGATCTACGAAAACTCGCTATTGACTGATTGCGCAGCGACCAGATATACCGAACAGTGCTACGTTTTATTGTGCTGTAGAGTGAGAATCTTCGAACACAGGTGGCATCGCGAGCACGCTGGGACAAAATAAACTCTGCGTATAAACTCAACGGAATCACTATCAATATAAAAGAAACAACTAATTTTTTTTTAATTGCCGCAAAAACTCGCAAAGTTAGGTATAACTTAAATCGGGAACGTGCTTATTTGAAGCGGAGACCTAAGCTGAACGGACTCACTCATTTCGTAGTGAATAAATTTATATATGCAATACAAAAATTCCTAAGCATGCACTTAATTATTTTTTTTAGAGAGGGACAGGAGGGAGTTTATTGTTTATTTGGTTCAGGAGGTCACTTCTCAAAGACGACTTGCAAAAAAAAGCAAATACTGCTCCGTTCACGTAGAATAAGTATAGTAAATGCCGCCAGTGCGCCAATTCCCGTTTCACTCTCCGCCGATGGCACGCCACCACGGAGCATTTCAAGCGCTCTTTACGCACGTGTGAGCTGAAAGTATTCCTGCTGGCAGCTGCCTGCGGCGGTGGCGTTGGCGCGGTCCACGGTCAGGGCCAGGGTCTGGTTGCGAAGCAGCGGAACCGCCCACTGGCAGACCAGGTGGCCACCCGACCTGAGCGAGTCCTCGGGAGCCGCCAGGAGCCCGCTGGTCTCGGTCAGCGTGTGCCAGCACGCTGCAACACGGACGCCCGCGAAGCTTAGCGAGGCGTCGCTCTTGGTAGAAAGTCGCCCTGCTTATTCCCTAGCCACGCATCGCGGGAACTTTTAAGTGCAGCTAAGTGCGACTGCCGTCAGACTTAAACGCCAATAATGATGCCCGACGGGCGCCCTAAACCGCAGTTGCGCCGAACTATGGTTAGCTGTTACTCTCCACTTTACCCTAACTATCGGAGCATCTTTAACCGCCATTAAACCTGACCTCAGTCACACTTCAATACTGTTAAGGGTCATCGTAAAGCTAGGGTACTAGACATTCCGTCAATGGCAGTGAAGGTGTGATAGCACTTAAATTATTTCTTTAACGAGCAGCACGTTTGACCAACATTTAGCCTATATATTTTCGCGCTAAATGCGGAGGTGAAATTGACGTCCCGTGACGTCATATTTTTACGTGGCGGTACGACATAAGACTGACTGAGACGTCAAATGTCCTGATGACTTTAACGGGAAAAATTAATGTCGCGTGACACTATGATGTCACGTGGGCTTGTGACGTCATGCGGCAAGGCCAACAGGAGCAGGAGAGTCCCCTGCAATGTTCCCACGTAATGCTATTGCTTTAAGAACAGTACACTAAGAGGACACTAATTGTATACTTTTGTGAAGCAAAAAGTACATTCTGAGTACATCTGTTGGGATGCTTTCAACGTCTGCAGTATTTTCTATTGTCTCTGATGAGATTAGAACGGCAGGACGTCTTTTTTGTACGACCGATCTCCGGCACGAGCTCGCTACCTTCCGCCGTGCTTTAATTTCGCGAGCACGCACGAGGCTCGCAAGACGCCGATGCGTTATCGAAGACAGAAACTCCTCTTCTCAATCTGTCAGTGGCTGGAGTGTGCTTCCTATTCTAGCGGCATGGTCCGCGCGCCGGCCCAGTCTGGAAGCTAATGTGTATTCAAGACAGAGACGTCCACATGCCATAATAAACTGTATTTACATATTGACAAAAGCAGAACATAAGAAGCGGTGATGCTGAGCGCTCCTGGTCGTTGGCCTGTTCTGCCGGTGCGCATGCTGCCGACCTTCTTTTAGTGTGGTGCCAGGGATGATGCCCCTTAGAGAAGTCTCCGAGTTCTTCAGATGCTCAGGAGACGGAGTGGTGATGAGGTTTAGTAAGTGGCGTTGGGTTGATGGCAGGATGGGAATGGAGACGAAGGCGGTAAGATCGGCGGTGCGTCTACCTGGGCAAGTTGCGAATGTTTCAGTTCCGGGTGTGCTGCCTTGAGACGGTCTAGTGAAACAGTGTCTCGTCGACAGTTGACATCTAGGATAAACAAAAAAACAAAAAAACTTGATTTAATGTTCAAGGGTCTTAAAGGGTCTGTCGTGAGGTGGTTGGAGAGGATGTACCACGTCATGAACCGCGCCCTGGCGAACAAAAACACGTGTCGCAACACTTAGGTCCTCAGAAACGTAGGTTGGAATGCGTTTGTTTGGTCTGGTGGGAGTAGCACGGTTCTTTCTCGTGACGTCGCGTAGCTGTATGGAGTATCTGGAAGGCTTGGAAACGGCACTGGCTGCAGGTGACTCGAAGAACGCACGCGGAAGGTGAAGTGTTGTTCCGTAAACTATGTCAGCGGCAGTGCACCCGAGGTCTTCTTTCAGGGCAGTGCACAGGCCGAGCAGTATGATGGGCAAGGGTGCACTCCAGTGATTTGCGTCGTCACGCACTTTGAGGGACGCCTTTAGTGATCGATGAAAACACTCGACAAGACCCTTGGCGGTTGGGTGATACGATGTTGTGCAAATTTGTAATGAGCCCAATAACGTCATGAGATCTCGGAATAAAGAGGATTCTAATTGTTCTCTTCTTTCAGTGGATATGGAGGATGGAACATCAAACCGGGCGATCCAGCCTGTTTCGAGGGTCCTCGCAATGATAAAAGAACTGATGTCAGGAATTTGGATGGCTTCCGGCCAACTTGTGCAACAATCGATGATGGTAAGCATATACGTGTTCCCATCTCACGGAGGCAGGGACACCACGAGTTCAATGAATGTTGCAAAGCGGGTGGTGAGTGTTAAAAATGAGGCGGACGGGGTGACTCTATAGCGATGCACTTTTGTGCGTTGGCACTGCAGGCAAGTGCCTGCCAAATCTGTGGCATCCTTGGTCATCCTAGGCCATAGAAAGCATTGGGCAATAAGGTGTTGAGTTGCCTGGGTGGGAAAGGTTGTGTAGGGAGTCAAAAACAAGGCGCTAAAGGGCGATGCAAGTCTGTGGAAATATCGCAACGTATTTCAGAATCAGACCCTGAGAGATGAAGATCCTGAAGAACCAGATTACCGTCTGTAGTTCACGTATCTCTGGGTCTCCTTGCTGTGCTTCTGCAAGATTGTTGAAATTGACGACATAAGGGATCGCGTTGCAGCGGCCAATGGGAGACAGAGCATTTGCAGCTGAGTTCTGCTTCCCGTGATGTGTCTGATGTCGCTGGTAAATTCAAATATGCAAGATAGATGCCGACTTTCCCTTGTGGAAAGTCGTTTCATGGTTCCTTACAGAGCGTAAATGGTTTGCTTGTGGTCGGTCAAGATGTAAAATTGACGACCTTCCAAATAATGAATGAAATGTTCGAGGTTCAAGTAAATGGCTAGCGACTCGCAACTCAATGCACTGTAGTGCGAGTCTGCTGGCGCCAGCTTATTGGAGAAAAAACCTAGCGGTTGCCACAGCCCGTTCACCCGTTGTTGTACAAGTCCGCCGACCGCGGCGTCGGAGGCGTCGGTCATGTCGGAGGGTTATGCATCCGCAACGGGGCGTGCTAGAAATGCAGCGTCAGCGAGGAACTTATTCATCAAATGCGCAAGCTTCGTTCAGCGTCCATTGCAGTGCGGTTGGTTCAGCCTCGCTGCCTCAAAGCAGATCGGTGAGAGGTCAGAGGACGGCAGCGGAATAAGTTAGAAACGTCGGTAGAAATTGACGAGGCCAAGAAACTCGCGGGGCTTCCGACACGAAGATTGCGTCGGAAAGTTCTTCACGGCCTTGATTTTAGATGGAAGAGGTTGGATGCCATGGGAGTTTTTGTGATGAACGAGCAACTCCAGCTGTGGCACACCGAACTCGCACTTCGCTTTGTTGATGGTGATACCATTGTCTGAAAGCCGTTGAAACCAGGTCTCAAGAATATGTTGATGCTTTTCAGCTTTTGTGGTTGACACAAGTATATCAGGACCCTGCGAACGCTCGGGGGAAGTCGTTGAATCACCCACTTCCGCAGCAGCGTCGCGTCGAAGGAAACGGCAATTACTTTTAGAAATCGTTTGGTTCATCCTAGCACTTGAATCCGTTTTCGACGTCCCACTACTCGGTTTTGGGAAGGTGCCAGAGTCGACGTCGACATTGCTCTGATGACGTCGTCTGATCGGCGAGCTCAGTTCTAAGCGTCTCGTAGGGGGAAACTTGAGGAGATGCGAGGACGAGGCCTCATATGTTTGTGGCGACTTCGGCTGGTAGTTCCGCAATTACAAGGTGGAATGGAAACACGCAACTCTCGTTTGCCTAATTGGGCAAACAAGAGTTGCGGGGACTCCAGAGGAAGGGGTTGAATGTACGACCACCGGAAGCTAAGGTTCTCGGAGCGCACGGTGAAGCCGGAGATTAGGCTGTGGTTCGAGTATCGTTTCAACAGTTTATGAATGGCAGAGACGTCTTGATGCCATAGTTAGCTACATTTACACATTTACAAAAGCAGGGGACCAAAAGGGGCCAAGGCAAACATCCCCGGGGTACTCCCAAAGTAACGGGTCGTCTATCAGAGTAAATTTTGTTATAGTGAACGTATTGGCCTGTTAAATAACCAGTTATCAAATTTAAAATTTGTGAGTTTCTAAGAATGTTTGAAAGCTTTACCAGCAATTTTGAATAAGATGCCCTGTCAAATGCCTTAGAAAATTCTATGCACATTTTGTTATTCTGTCCCCTTTCATTAATTGTTTCAGGTATTTCATGTGTAAATCTAATGAGCTGGGTTTTGGTCAACAGTAACTTTCTAAAACCGAGCTGATATTTATAAATTAGATTATGCTTATCTAGGTTAATAAAAAGTCAACTAAAATCCTCAAGAAAGTCAGGTGAAAAATCTGTTGACAATTTAGATCCCCTGATGACTTTTTTCAACAGTTTTTCAACAAAAACACACCACAGCTTTTGTAAGGCTACGTCAGGGGATAAAGTATTGCTTGTTAGGAAAGACAGAAATGCAGTTCGCTAAGGTATTTATGTTCGCATCGGTTTATTCATGTGTCGAATTCAAAAGATAAATTCGTTTTTTTTAAGAAAATAGTTACGATTCCAGATGCATTTTTCAGTCTTCCCCCGTATGCAGCTCTACGAATCAAAGTGCACAAAGAATAATTCCGGCAGAACCAACAATGTTGCTGTCTAATTAAAGGATTAGTCTTCTTTGTGATGAGACACGAACACCATGCTATTAAATTTATTTTCAAATTTTATTTTGTTCGTTCAGTGCACCCGCTAAATCTAGCAGGTAAACTAAATTTGTGCGTGGATGGTATCAGCCAACGTGGCGTCCTTTTCCCCGCAAAATTTAGCGTGGAAACTGAATTGGTGTTGATGTCCCGTGACGTCAATTTTCCCGCTAAATCTAGCGGGGAAACTGATTTTTTGCATAGATCATGTGACGTTATTCTTCCCGCTAAATTTAATGGGGAAACAGCCAGAAACATACCTCCAAGTGACCTGAAGATCCCAAGAGAGCTAATCACTTTATAAATGCAATATTTTATCAGGAATTATGATTTGATATAATCAAGGGAGTTCCCCAAAGTGGTGAATATTTACGTAAGAAGTAATTGACGTCCGTCTGAAGTGGAGCAGATATCGCTCCCTCTAGGTGAGTGGTGGCCGCTGGAAAATCCGCCTGGCCCGGTTTGATCCAGGGAATTCTTCATGTCTGGCGCAGCGTTCTATCAACTGAGCTAAGCAGGATCTGGCAGTGAGCAGCTGGTAGCCAATTGAAAGTATTTTTCAGAGAGGATAACTAAGACGCGCCATGTACAGATATTTAAGAATAAAAAAAAAAAACTTGTGCCTCATTAATAAACTTTTTCAAGGTATATTTATGTCAGATGCGATATGTTTTTAGTGTAGTACATCTTTTATAGAAGCGTATAAAATGTACGCTCTAAGTGCGCGGAACTATAAGTACACATATAGTAATTTATACAGTCGCAAAGATTCGCCACTTGAGGCAGTGCCGGCCCTCGCACCGAACGCATGGGCATAGCCTACTGTACACTTACAAAGCCTGGGTGAACGACGACGGGGAGTGCCCGCGGTCACAGATTAGAGCACGAGGATCTAGTAGCACAGAGCATCAAAGAGCCATTTCTCGGTGAACCTGGACCTCAGCACACAGCTTTTGCAGCGGCGAGGACCCGAAACACACTTGTTCGCTCGGGAGAAGTGTGTTTAGGCGTCTCGCCGCAGTGGGCCGCCATTCACGTCGCTCTCCTCTCATCCGTTGTACGCCGCTCCACCTTTTCCCTTTCGGCGACAGCTTCTCGTGGCGATCTGCCTGGCTTTGCCAGTATATAGAAGGCTATGACATCGGCGGCCGCCGCGGTTCAACGTTCATGACGTACGTAGTTCGACGTCGGTGCTGTAGCTGGCGCGGAACCCGTGTCCTCCAGCTAGCCGGTGGAACGTGTACGAGACCGCCAGGCGAGACGTGGCCGACTTGATCTCCATGGGGAGCGGATGGCCACACTCCAGGTTCCTCACGTGCGCCATCTCCGATATCTGCGAGGGAGGTCGTCCACATTGTAGAAACATACCCCGTACTCCGTTTCTAGTCCGACCGTAGCTGACGCTACTACCCGATCGGGTTGTAGGGTGGGAACAGCGCGAATAGGAGGAAGGACAACAAAACAAGAAGTACACAGACACAGCAGCTGACATTGAAGGACACAGAACCGGGCCTGATGTATAAGAAATGAAGTTCAAAAGGGTGAAGCTTTTACACATCGGGCCCTGTTCCACGCTCTTTAAAGTTAGCGCTGCGCCTGCGCGTTTCTTGTCCTTTGTCATATTTGCGCCTTTCCCACTTTGTGAGATGATCAACCAACTCGGCCAACTTTCCGCCTTGCATGGGCGTACCAACCGGGGGGGCAAGGGGGGCACTTGCCCCCCCAGTTCTCAGAGTGGGGGGGCAAGGCATGCGTTTTGCCCCCCCTGAAACGGCCGCCACTGGGCAGAGCAGACACAGGCCGGCGGCGCCCAAGGAATACCAAGGGCACTGCCCCCCGACCCGCGCGGGCATATTTTTAACGCGCAGGCGATACAAACCCTAGCAACGGTGCTCACGCACGCCGGATTGGCTGGTTCGTAAAGCCTTGCTCCACGAACAAGGCTACACGGTAACCTTACGGAATCCATCCGCGAGACATGGGCCGGACGGGCCGTCCAGACCAGGACGTAGGCCCTTACACAAAATAAAGTTTTGCTTGCTTGCTTGGAGATAGGCGCTGCCGCCGTCAACATAGGCAGCGGATGCAATGCGAGTTTCCGAAGAGGTAGCGTAACTTAGTGGTGAGATGTCTGCCTCATACGTGTCAGACCCGGGTTCTATTTATGGTGTGGGCCGGCTTACTTCTTTTTATTTTTTTTCTCGAACATTTTGTTTTGTCGAGGCATTTGGCGATATTTACATTTCTTTTTTACCATTAACACTAAAAAAACGAATGTTGTTGACGAAACATCGCTAAACTAAATCGTATCGACTCTATTTACGGAAGTGCATGGGGGGCAGCGGGGCTTGGGTTGCCGACCGGACGCCGCAAAGCGGCGTGTACGGGGGGGGGGGGGGGGGGGGGCTAGGTGGGTTAATAGATTTGTAATTAGCAGCCGCACACCGTCACCGCGAAGCGGCGTGAACGCAGGCGCGGGGGTGGGTTAACGCGCTTCGAGTGATACACGAGCAGCCCATCCGGCGTGATCGTCGTTGTTAGGGGTTCTATCGCCTGCACCGTAAAAGGAGCAGTGTGTCCACCTCCTGTAGTGGGCAAGAATTCCTACATTGGAGAGAAGCGGGGACAAGCCCTTTCTTCAAATGCGTCAAGTCTCCTTGAGCTTCGGAATACAAAGAAACGCCACTATTCGGAGCTAATCCCACAGTTACTCGACCTCTCTTGCGTCGTGTCTGCTCGCTCCCCGCGCCTCGTAGCAGTGTTGTTGAAGCGCGGGGGCTCGTTAAAATTTGGGTTTTTTTTGGACTATCTAAATCACTTTCTTCCTTCCCATCCCCCCCTTTTCTACTCCGCATGCTTCCCCCTCTGCAAATATCAGCTGACCTTCCGACCTCTGTTCTCTGTTGATAGGCAAAACAACCACTAAAATTAGAAAGTAATTTGTAATTTGAGTGGAAGTCACTCAGAAAAGTAGTTAAAGTAAACTACTGATTACTAGAATAGAAATGTAATTAAAAGTTACTAAACTACCCAGAAAAGTAGTTAAACTACAGTAACTTGAGTAAAGTAGTTGAACTACGTACAAGTCTGGCCTGGCAAGCGCTCTGCGTAAGTGTTTTCACTGATCTGCCTAGCCCCGCACACCATCACATGGGCCAAGAAAGGTGTAATTTTACTGCAGAGGAGAAATCAGCAGGGTCCAAGATGGTGACAATGGAAAATGGGGGACTGTTCCAGTGGCTGATGGCTTGAGAAAGGAATGACCAATTGAAAGCGTTCGTAGAGCCAGAAGTGTGTTTGATGGTGCAGACGTTGTTGAGGCGAGAAGATGTTCGGTCGAGGGGTAATAACAAAGTGGTTTTGAGGTCGGGAATGTGGTAGTAGATTTTGTGAATAAGGCACAGCTGAGAGACTTTCCTGCGAAGCTGCAAAGAGGACATGGTTAGTTCAGTTTTTAGCGCCGAGACACTGAAAGAAAAGTCATAAGTGGATGAAATGAAGCGAGCAGCTCTGTTCTGAACTGCCTCTACAGCGTATTGATGAGGTACAGTCGATGGGTATTCCAGATGGTTGAAGCATATTCTATTTTTGGTCTGACATACGTGTTAAAGGTTAGCTTAGGGACAAAGGGTGGAGCGATTTTTTAAGTTACGTCTGTTTAGTCCAAGAGTTCCAGATGAATTGGCGGTAATGACTTCAATGTGGTTATTCCAGGGAAGGTTAGATGTTAGTCTTACACCAAGGTATTTATACACAGTAGCGGTCTCAATTAGATCGGAGTCCAAGAAGTAATTAATTGACAGAGTGGTTTTTTTCTTGGTGAAGTGGATTAGTTTGCGTTTATACTTGTTTGGTGACATAATCCACTCTTTGCACCAATTGTTAATTTTATCTAGATCTTCCTGAAGCTGGTTATTATTTTGCACACAAGTTACTTTGTTATGGATGACGCAGTCGTCGGCGAAAAAGCGTTTTTTTGAAGAAATCCCAATGGGAATGTCATTAATAAATATTAAAAAGAGTAAGGGCCCAAGTACGAACCCCAGGGGGACACCAGGAGATACATTTATTAAGGAAGATTCATGATCATCATGGACGTGACCTGTACACGGGAAAAAAGAAAGTCACGAATCCATGCAAACGGTTATTGGTCGAGGCAAAAAGATGATAGCTTAGAAAGAAGGCGTTGATAGAGGACACGGCCGAACGCTTTGGAAAATAAAAACTACGTCAGTTTGGACGCGCCATTCAAGGTTAGTGTGCAAGTCATGGATGAAGTCGCAGAGTTGCGTTTCGCAGGAAAGTACCTTTTGAAAACCGTGCTGCTGTTTAAAGAAAAGAAATGGGATGATAGGTGCCTCATGATATTGGAGTAGAGGATATGCTCAAGTAGTTTTCAAGAAATTGAAGTCAATGATTTAGGGCGATAATTAGATGCGGAAGAGCGGCTGCCCTGTTTAAAGACTGGGAATTACCCTTCCCACCTTTTGGTCAGATGGAAGGCAGCTTTGAGATGAGGACTGAATGAAGATGAGTTTCAAATACTCACTAGAAATAACACGGGTGTTTCTTTTAAATTTTAGGGTTGATGTTATCGGTTGCAGCGGACGAAGTAAGTTTTAGTTTATCAATCAATGTTTTAATACCAGCGGAGTTAACGTTAATAGGATGCATGCGCTCGTAAAGCTCTTCAGGGAGAGTGGGGACGAAGTCCAAGCACTCGTTAGTAAACAGTAATGAAAAGTATTCGTTAAACACGGAACTATCATGCTCGACGTTACACATCCGACATTCCTAACTCTCCCCATCTTCCTAAACGTCCGTGTGTGTCCTAACACCAGAAACCGGAATTTTAAAGGTTAAAAACGGCACGTTGCGAATATGGAACGCGCACTTTCATGCAAAGCTGACGTCAAGTTACTCAAATCGAAAAACATGCATATTTACAGTATTGTTATCTCTTCTGGTGAAGGCTAAACAACCGTTGCATCCGTTTTCGCGCACGAAACGGTGACTCCCAGAGAAAGTAAGAACGCAGTGATTGTCTTTATTTTAACAATGTAAACACACTTGCAGGCGTGCGCTGATGAAGCCTCAAAATCAAAACTCTCGTAGTGTGATTCGTGACTGCTCCGGCTACTACCCAACCTCGTTGTCACGCCACTTTCTGCAAGCAAACACTAAAATTGCCAGTAAACACACAAAAGCGACATCGATACAATTATCTTGTAGAATATCACCTTATTTAATCATAACTGTTTCAATAGGCACTACAAGTTGTATTTATTTTAAGAAGAAGAAGCAAAATTTTTTTCGTGAGAAAAAACAAAATATTAATCCTAAGTCTGGTAATGTTGTAATTTTGCCGAATCATTGCCACATCTTTAAAAAAGTTCGACAAAAGTTGCGCCGAATTTTCGATTAAGGGGGGGGGGGGGGGAGAGGGTCGGGTTTGCCCCCCCACTCAAAAACAAGTCGGTACGCCACTGCCGCCTTGTTACCCGATAGAGCCAACAATCAAGCGGTGTCAAAAGTGTATGGTCACGGCGCTCGTTTTCTTAGTGGGGGTGCACTCAACAGCTAAACCTAACAAGCACAAAAAAGCAAGAGCAGGATTGCGGCGTATTCACTGTGATTGATTTAGTTGATGATATCAAAGGCGAAGAGTGCCGTGACGATTCATTTTGCGTGCTGCTTCATTGCCTCCATCTCACTGTAGCGTCGGCTGCGCCCAGACTTAAAGTGAAAGAACTATTATAGTTCTCTACATCACCAAACAAAGGCCAGCGGATACACGGTAGCGAGTGCTCCAGCAAGGTTGCTCTGGGAGGCAGCATTACGGCCGGGTTATCTATAGACCCTTTTCATGGCAAACGCCACCAGGCGGTGCTCCAGTCTTTGACGTCCCAGACAACTTCCGGTTTATAAAAAGAAAAGGCCTCCCTAACACCGCTGCTTGTAATGTATATGTAACGTTTAACCACCATGCATTTCTCCAGGTGAATGCCTAAAGAGCGAAGCGCGAGATCTGTTAAAATGTTTCGAGTATTCTTGTAAACCAAGTTGCGTCCTTCAAGATGTAATATTGTACAGCAGAAGGATCTCGTTAAATCTGCAACTTCGTTGTACGTGTAGTATTTATGCCTTCTAGCACTGTTGACATAAGCCCGCTTAGCAGGTTTGCAAAGACGGAGCGACCGGAATTCGCTAGAGACGCAAGCGGCAGTTCATGTGTCTAAACCAAAAGGCTCTATAGATGGCATGAGAACGGCAGGCCGCCTCTTTCCGATTTCCGACATCCAGCCCACGCCCGTGGCCTTCCGATCTATAGTATACATTGGTTGCGCGTGCACGCTGGAAGCTCACAAGACCAGCATTACGGCCGTAATGCTGGTCTTGTAGGAAGCCCGAATGTGAGACAACTGAAAGATTTCTCTGCCGTTTTCGTTTTGTCAGTGGCCATATAGGACGCGATCATTCTTAATACCAGCGGGCTAGAATGGAAGACAATACCATGACGACACCCGTGCAGTCGCTCAGGTCTCCCGCCGTAAAGCGGAGCGAGATACGCCGGCCCTCGGGTGCTTGGATGTTCCAGCGGCAGTGTCGCCGCTGAGTCACGGGCTCCGGGAAACCAGGGCTCGAGAAGCTACCTTCGGGAGTAGTCAGCACTCCACCGCAGCCTGCAATGAGTGCTCTCGTCATGCAGGCCGATGTGGACAAAGCCTCGGTCAGACTCACGCTGAACCTGGTACTGCCAACGCAACACGAGGGAAGGACTCTTTCGGGGTGATCCGGATCCGACCTTAGCGCGAAGATACATGGAGTTTTCTGAAGACTGAACATCAGCGGAGATGTTGGCGCCGCACCATCGTCCCAGCAGCTCTCCTGCAAGCAGACACGTTCACACACAAGGGTCATCAGTCCGGCGACAACGAAGCATGCTGGCAATGCCGTCTCTGCGTACCGGTCTTGTTGCCGTCGCGGACCTCGATGAAGTCGCTACCCGTGCAGGTCGGACTTTCGCGAAGGTCCAGGCCTTGAATGGTGAGTCTCACATTCGTCTGGTCTGTGGTGCGCAGCATCCACTCGCAGTCGAAGGCGACACCCGACAAGAGCTTTTCGCGAAGCGGCTGCAGGTTCTTGCTCGGGGCGCTGAAGGGCCACAGCGTGCCGCCGCACTCGGCTGCATGAAACGCCAAAGCATCCAGAGGGACGGCTGCGGCCGACTGTGTGTGAAGAATGTCCATTACTCCTCCCTTTTTCAGTAGATTCGGCTTCTTGGTACATGCCAATCGCAAAACATCAAAATTTGCAAAGAAATTGATATATAGTTTTATGATGTTTTTATAATTTTGAATTTTTATATTTGATGTATAAAATGTTCAATGACGATTAAGATCGCGAAATTAGTAAACTACGCATTTGAAGATCCCCAGGCAACCCAGAACATCATGAAAATGAGCCTTTTTTTTTTCTCCGCTGTTCTTGTGACATCACCCGCAATCGGATTTAAGTTGACAAGTAGGCCTATAGCCGTCTCCTCTCCATTGCAGTCCTCTGTACCTTGAATTCGTCAAAGAAATTTATTAACAAAGAATTATTTTCCGCACTGCCAATGAGTATTTATGCTAACATTCAAAAACGTTTTTCTCTTCATATACTTTTGGGGCATCTTCACATTTTTCCACTAGAACTTCTGTTCTCAATATTGCCCTATCACAACCAAAGTTTGCATGCTTATACCTTAAAGTATGTATAGTGCAAGTATCCTTGTTTAGTTTTAATGTTTGTTTTATTTATGAAAAAGTTTGGAAACTTTTGTTAGCCTCTTGAAATGGCTTTTTTTTTTCTATTTTTAAATATTCTAAAAGGAACGAAGTGTCACACACATAATTTGTGTTGTTCATGGCACTTAGTGGTTTACAAAGAGCGAATAAGTTTATTTACTAGGCCTTCTTAAGTGTGTTGCCATGGCTCACGTGTGCACAAGGAGATGTTTTTTTCAGTTATTCTTTGTTAAGAACTTAAGAAAACAAATTATATCAAATATAACACAAGATTTATAGAAAAAGATTACGAACCAATAACTGTAAAAACTTCACTTTCATATCATAAATTATAAAAAAAATCTTTGAGCCTTTCCACTCTGGGGAAGAAGGAAGACCAGCGAATCTGTACTTTGGTGGGAATGAAGTAATGGCCGGCCGCAAGTCGGCAAGCGAGAATGGTTGCCGCCATCTATGAGCGACTGCGGCAACCAGACAACCGGCTTGCCGGTTGTCTGGGCGCCGCCGTCGATCTTGGGGAAACTATACTTCGTTTCACCTTATGTCCGAGCGCGGCCGATGTTATGAGCCGAAGGGCCAATCGAAGAGCGCAAAAAGCGCAGCGTCATGGCGTGCTCTCTGCGCTTGATAGGACTAGCCGGCGGAGGAGCCGTGCACAGAGAGACGGGGAATAGACCCCTTTCAAAAAATCGGGCAACAGCGAAAATCCGCTGAACGAGTCCAACAACATTGGGCGGCCGGCGCCATTGGGAAGGACCCTGTTGCGGCCGGCATGGTTGTTTTGACTGTAGCGTTCTTGTTTCGTCGATCCCTTCGCCTCTGTATGGCTGCAGGTCGCGTTTTCCCGATCACGGGTTGGGTAAACGACCTTTCCCAGCTCCCAGCCGTTAAAGATGATGAGCTATATCGCTTCTTCAAGTGCCGATCGGACTCGGAACGACAATTCGACAGAAGTTACAACTTTCTCGTTGAGGGGTTCGTGGTCGCCGCATCTATAAAGGCCAACTACGCACGAAAAAGGTAATTACTAAGATCTTTGTAGTTACGACATCAAACATGTCATCAAAAAATGATAGGAACCGGTTATAATTTACGGGCTGTAGTTAGAAGTCGCCAGTACTCTCCGGATGTGCGACAAAACAGGCGCAGGGGTCCCGCTTCGCTGCCGCTCGGACGGTCGCGCGATGAAGCACACCGCATAAAAGCGACGAGCGAGCGACCAAGGCGATGAGCGTCGTTTTCTAGAAATCCCAAACCAAGCGACGCGACAAGCGACAGTGAATCATTTTCGTTGCTCGTAGCCGACTTTCGTCGCTTGACTCGTCGCTCGTCGAATCGCGTTTTTTTACTTGGAATTAAGACCTAAAATTTCAATGCGCATGTTAACCAGTAAAGGACGTATTTGACACAAGTTCCTACTTGATACGTCGAGTCCCTTTTTCTTGAGCGGGATCTTAGAGTTGGGAAATGTAGAGCAGCAAATTTTGCAGTGAAGCAGAAGTTGCAAGCGCGTGCATGTTGCTTTGCATAAAGCACGCGCTGCACAGATGTCTGCGCTACAGGCAGGTTAAAGCGTCAGGTCGTATGGCTTCATGCGTACCTAACATACAATTTACACGCGAAAGTTTGAGGCACCGCGAGCTCGTGCATACCTGAAGCTAGGCGCTCGCTAAGCTGTCACGTCCACAAGCGATACCACGAGCAACATTATATTTGTATTTGACGCCTTGATTTCTTCAAGCTATACTTCGTTTCAGCTTCGGTCCAGACGCAGCCAAAGCTACAAGCGCGAGCTCCGGGCTTTCAGCACCCCTGCCAAGCACGCGTTCTCGTGCAGTGCAAGCACTGTTCTGGGCCACATGCTCGCGCTAGTAGCATCGGCTGCGTCTGGACCGAAGCAGAAACGAAGTATAGCTGAAACTTGAAAACTCTACCTCCAAACGCAACAAAGTGAGATTAAAAACACCTGACTCAAACACCCAAGGAAGCGTAGCGTGAGAACGGTTCGTGTTCCGTTTTTGCACTTCAGCAGGGAAACGTTTGCGCGGCTACGCCGCCGTCAACCGATAACGAGTACATTTCCGAATACGTGCCTTAATGCCAGACTTGTCCAGATACCCACTCTGCTTACAGAGGGGTACGCAGCAGTACGTTGGCATCGTGGGCAGGAATTGACTAGCGTCTACGGCCAACGCAGCGTACGCAGCGGCGCGCGCTATCCTGCAGCATGGCGGCTGCCACTAGTTGCTGTTGCCTACGACAGGTGGCGCTTTTTTTTCTGATGGGTCTATACAGGCAAGTCCTATCAACTGCAGCGAAAGAGGCACAACGCTATGACGTTGTGCCTCTTTGGCTGTTTGATTGGCCCTTCGACTCATAACATCGTCGACCGCGCTCGGACCGAAGCTGAAACGAAGTATAGCCCTTAACAGCTCCGTTGTAAAAATATTTTCCCCTGGTGCATGTTCCGTGCTAAACTTGTTTGGGATTTGAAGGATGTGCTGGGATTCTGTGCCGTACCGAGAGACACGGTTGCCCTGAAGCCTAGATAGTCTCCTGCAGGTCCCGTCTGCACGTAGCGGACGGCCAGCAGGCTGTCCGAACTGATGAGGCTGTCTCCCCGCTCGCTTCCGCAAAACATCCCCAGGGAGGCTGCATTGGCTGTGCCGCCATCCAGGAACTCCACAAAGTCCTTGGGCCTTTCTTGGTCATGGCAGCTGGAAGGCGTCGGCAGCCATTAGCGCACCATTCCTCGATAAACACTAAAATATTTTACACCCTTCCCTAAATTGTGTTAAAGCACACCCTTAGGATGCTGGCGATCTTAGCAGCCCCCGGGGGAGAGTCTTTTCCCCAGCAAACAGGTTACAGGTAACGAGCACATTCAGTTCTCACATGCACAGATAAGCAAATACTTATGATGCAATGAATCACTCACGAGAGAGGAATCACGACCCTAGTGTGCACTTTACCGCCTGATATACTCGACAGTTCACAGAAACTCATTCGCAACTATAAGGGTCTTTTTTCGTCAATATTTCACGCAAAGCATAGCGGCTCTAAGTTCATGGCATGTATTTCTAAACAAAAAAAAGTGTTGGTACAACCATTGATTTTTTGACATAGTCGGTAAAACAACCTCCGCTACAGTTGTTTGAAGCGAGGATCAGTGCGGCGAACACCTTTCAAAAAGTACTCTCGTCACTTCACTGTAGACCCTCTTTCTGCAGACTTTATACAGGTGCCCTTTAAAATCGGAGGGTGCTCCAAGAAACAGCACTCTATAAACATACAAAAAGGGTTTATTCTCGAAATAATGGTACTGAAGAAGCAGAGTGATTGGTATAACTCTCTGGAGCATCCCTTTTACACCCTTAAGGGTGCACAGTTTCTTAGAGTGTGGGGGACCCACCCGTGTGGCATGTGAAAGGCCTCTGGAAAGTCGACACGGATGCGCCTGCCCGGTGGACCCTGAACGCGCCAGTCGCACTCCACCGAGTGGGCAGGTCCTCCGTGGGGGTTGCCCGGCGATGACACCGTCGCTTCCGGGGATTCTGCTGTCAGGGCCACAGGGCCGCCGCAAGATGTCGACGCCTCTTCCCAGCGGAGGCGGAAACGCTGTGAAGACGTCGAGATAGATTGTACGAACACTGGCGATGATAGTTTTATAGCTGTTGGGTCAACGCGGTCGTTTATTTTGACTCCAAATGTAAACATGAATGGGCCTCGAACTATGAAAACCTATCTGCCAGAATAAGGTGGTGCTTGGAGATATCCGTGTCTGGAGCTTAAAATAGCTTAAAAATTTCGAAAAAAAAACCTGCTATTCGCAAATTCCAGCTACGGTGTCGCCGCCCAGACGGCTGGCTTCGGAAACGCAAGGAGAGGGATATATTTCGTTTGTGTAGGCTCGTATACGTAGAGACGTAGATGACGGAGGCTCATGAACACCGCCAAAACTAATATTACGCGGCGATAGTACGATGAGCTGGTGACGTGATGTACTACAAAACTCCATCGCGACAATCAAGACGTCGAAGAAGGCGCAGCCTCCGTCCGTTCGTCACGGAATCCGCCGCGCAACGATGCTTGTTCGGTGACTCTACTCGACACTTGGACACGTCATTTTCACAACCCGTGTACTCGGCGGTAGGATGACCCTCGTGCACCTGCCTTCGCATAGGACAGTGACCGCGAATGCGTAAAAGTCGATGTGACCAGCGTCACTGCTTCCCGCTTGCCGATAACAGCAGACCTAAACAGAAGTTATGAAGGGCAACGGGAGGTATTGACGGACGGCCAATACGTGCTGCTGTGTACATTTTGAAGATTAGTTCTCTCAACAGAGGTGGGTTAAAAGTTTCTTTACTCGAGATATATCAAATGTAAATACACTGCATACATTAGGGAGATTTAATCGTGGTTTCAGTGAATGCGCATAGCGACCCTGCTCCATCGCTTTGTTCCGTAAGCGTATGGTTACCTTGGCAGTCGGCCTGCCTCTTCCAGTGCCATTCGCGATTAGCTACGTTGTTTTATAAAGCTGTTTTTTTTTTTCTCTTTTTTTGAGTATGAGCAGTGCACAGACATTTTGGTCGAAGTAGTGACCGACCGATCGCTGCTGCGCCTTGAGTTTTTCCGATATCGAGTAATACCGAGTATATCCTGAATAACGCCCTAGATTTTTGTGATGATTATGCTGCTTGACACCAAATAAAGTGTTATAAATTCAGAAAATTTGTGCCTGATATTTGTAAAATTGTGTAAAATGATTGCATATGATTGCGTGATATTGAGCAATATGTATGCGAATAATGGGGAGCCTCTCTAAAGCTCTACGTCTTTGAAGAATGGCAATGTGGAAACTCAATTTGAGTTCACCGTATTGTAATATGCCTGTAAACAGAAGTTTGGACCGTGTTCACTAACGTGCCGGAAACCTCGTCCGCTCACCCGGTTCGTTCGTTTCGTCATTTACGAACGTTGTTTGGCAGTTAACCTAAAAGGTAATTGGTCAAGCTTCGTTCGCTCGTCCCGCAAGATGTCTCCCACCGCTTGTCGTCTTCTATACTTTACTGTTTGCAGGCGATCAACGCTCAACATAATATACATTTCGTTTGAAGAAGTACATAATATGCATTTTGTTTGAATCTACTGCCCTACCAGACTTCGTTTCGGAAGACTGGACGATCTTGTAATTGGTCAAGGTACCACTATACCACAATACCCACAGCGAAACGATCCCCCTTTCGTCTGCGCCGGTGCCCAGTGTTTTCATATTTGCGTTGCGTGTGCCCAGAGAGCGCTGTCAGATGTTTGATTAGCTGCCCGTGCATCTTAAAAAGGGAAATAGTCAAATTTTGAAGTTGATCGCACAGTATCTGCTGTCGCAAAGCAAGTCGATTCCACTTAATTACGATGCTCACGGCGAATTCTCGTGAACCAATCCCCCTCTTGACCGCCATCTTTGGTTTTTGCAGCGCCCTCTATATTCCCTGGAACTTGCGTATAGGTTTTGCGGGTGACATTCTTTATTCAAGACACGGATGTTGCTACAGTTCATTTACGCTCCATTGAGTTCACTGCCGTCATGGGAACATATTGGTGATACACTCACGGCCTTAAAGGGACCTCGGACTCGGTACACGACGGTGGCCTGATGCGACGTCGTCTCGGGCAGCTCCGGAAAAGTCGACGAAGAGCCGCAAAACTTGCCCTGGCCGAGAGGCGGAGACTCCGGCTCGGCACCGTTGAGCACCTGCATAGAAAGGGATGTGCGAGTTAAAAGATTACCGTATTTTTTAGTGTATTTCAAAAGTGCTTGCTCTTTTGGAGCCCAAGTATCCCGTACTAATCTAACCGGGCTTCAGAATGTGATTCAAACCCGACGCATAAAGTGTGTCTAAGATTGACATCACGCAGCTGCATTCTAGCAGCTAGTGATTTATTTCAAGAAGAAAAAAAAAAAGAAAACACTGCGGTACGGTCTGCTATTGACAGTGCTCACCTGTAGGAAGGAATCCCTGCATGCCCCGTCTTGCGAAGGCATCTCCAAGAGTTCCAGGGTGATCTTAAGCTTCCGCCTTCTGTCCGACCGAAGAAGCCAGCGGCAGTTCTGCTCGGTAGACAGCACGTCCGTGTCAGCCAGTTGTCCAGACCCTTCCGTCAGGTTGCCGCCGCATTCTGGGAAGAGGCCACAAGTCTTACGACGCATCTGGCGGAGCATCTGAAACGGCGACGAGCTTCGTGCACCGACCCTTCTGAAATCCCGGAAAGCGCTAGGCTAAAGCTATCGGCTTGAGGACACTTCCATTACAGATACGATGCACCCTCGCGGACAATATTACTCTCTCAGAAATAGGGGGTGTAGTGGTTACACCCCTTGTCTCATGTGTAACACCCCAAAACAAAATTTCGAGGGTCAGTCCATTGACGCCGAACTGACTATACCAACATTTACGAGTGGTTTCATAGCTGTGTGATATAACTTACTAAAAAACTATGTACGTACCAAAAACTACAAAAAAAAAGAAGAAAACACTGTTTTTTTAGCACAGTTAACTAACGCTTGAGTGTTTTCCCGTAGTCTTTAACGCTTACATTAGCTATTTTATTAATTGCTGTATTACTTGACCATCGAGCCGCTCGTAAAAGGTGGCAACTTCGCTTCGACTTTAGTGGATTGGACGTCGAATTGTAACTTTTGAAGTGTTATCTATTTGACTAGGGGTGTAACTAATACACCCCCTATTTCTGAGAGAGTATATGAAACACTGAATCTGTTCCTCTCCTGAGCCTCTGGTCCCCGTAAGGTCTATAATTTTTTAATCTGTCCTATGTTTCTAAGCATGGGTCCACAACTTCGGATTCTGTTCGTATTTCGGAGCACATACCTCTCAAAAACTGGAAGGTACGCCAGGTAAGCCCAAATATCCGTTTCAGCTCATATTCTCCTGGATACTACTTCATTTCTAACCAACTGCTTGCTATGCTAGCTCTCGAAGACAGGCGTTTGTAATATAACGCAAGATAATAATGTATGTTTCCACATAGAAGAGCATATAAAACCCATACCGGTCGTTCCTCCAGAGTCTCCTATTGGATTCGGATCAGTTTTCGCACCATTCCTTCGCTCACTGTGTTTATGGTCGATCCAAACCGGCACATAATACTTGTACGTGCGCCTGAACACGCCTGTGACGCCTATGACATTTTAAGTATTCCGGTGCAAGCATACGGAGCGAAATGTTACAATTTGGTCTAGACAGCCATCCTGAGTGCGCAAATTTATTCCGGAATACCCGTTAACTTGGGAAAAGATACGCAGCGCGGCGCGCAAACGCGCAAACAGCCAGCAGCCAGCCAACGCCACCTAGAGAAAGGCCCGAAATGCTTTGAAAGAATGCGTCACCAATGTCACAATATGGGGCTTTGGAGACGGTACCCGGGCAGTGGCGTGGAGGAGTGTTTTGTCAATGCGCCGAAGTATAGTATTCTTAATGAGTTATAAAGCATGTTATTAATAGAATTTGACTACCAAATTGGCATTGGATGGAGTTTATATATTAAATACGTAAGATAGCGCGTAGGATAGGTTAAGAATACCAAAATGTATGCTTTGAGAGACGAACTCGCATGAAGGAATTAGCTCCTGACCGTCGAGGCATTTGAGCAGACAACGACTGTCTCTCCGGATGCTCGTGGCCGCTGTCTGGCTCAGCTCTTGCGTTCCCGTGTTTCCGCAGACTCTTGTCTTCGAAGTGCCAATCTTTCCTCCCGGGCGTCGGCGGTTTCGCGCAAACGGCGTCGTCGCTGCACCTCGGTTTTACGTTGTCGCATACGTCGCGTATACTGGGAAAGCGAAACCATGGGCCTACGCCAAGGTGTCATCGTAAGAGCACGCGGCAAATGTGGCGCGTCATTGGAAGCGTGCGGGAAGACTCTGTCCCTCTTGCGTAAGAGGGAAAGTGCAAGTAATGAACGAGCGAACGGAGCAAAAGAGTACCACGGGAACAGCGCCTCGACCTTACGAAACCAGTCTATCCTGTCCAGGGGTGTTACCTAGAGGAGGGGGGGGGGGGGGGGGGCTTATGGGGCAACAGTCCCTTCCCTCTCTCCCCCCTGAAATCCAGCCGACCTTATAATATACACATACGTTTTGACCCTCCCTTTTCCCCTCCGCACCCCAAGTCATGGACATCCCCAGCAACCTCAGCCCTCCCTCTCTAGAGAAATCTTTCCTGGCTACGCCACTGATCCTGTCCAGTTCAGACCGAAGACGGCTGCGAGCACCGGAGCAATAAATATTTTTTTAAAAATATGAAGGGTTCCAGCGAAGGGCGCAGAAATGCAGCCTTGTCAGGGTCACCCACCGGAGGTCAGCTTGGCGGAGAAACCGTTGCCCATGGCCTCGTCATCGACGCTCTGGAAGGTGCGCAGGCGGGCCACCAGGAAGCGCGACGAGCTTACCACGGGGTCCGGCAGGTCGCGGGAGCTCACTCGGCCGCACCATTGGGCGAGAGGACGCTGCTCGGGGCTCGACAGGGGGTCAACTGAACAGAGATGGCAGTAATGACACTACTGTGATAAAATTGCAATAATTGAATTGCTTTTTGTGGTAATGGGTAATGTAGTTAATTACTTTTCCAGGCTGGTAATTTAGTAATGTAATGAAATACTTTCAGGCAGCAATTTCAAAAATAAAATTACTCACTGCTTTTGTTATTAATTTGGTCTCAGATAGAGAAGTATGTTTGCAAGCTTTAAAAAAATGTTTTGCACGGTAAAATGTAGTGAAAGAGACCAGAGCAATGAAGGACGGGCCATCTGAGCCCAGTTTCGTACCAAAAACTCGACTGACGCGCAAAGGCGGACTGGAAAGGCGCTGGAGAAAAGCTTACGTGCAGGGACATCGCTGGAAGGCCACGCCTCACGAACTCGAGGCGAGACAGACTCACGGCGTCGCGTCATCAAGACGGTACTATACTCGTTATCCCTAAGCAACAGTACTGTGGTGCTACGAGCCCAACAGAAGAATCAACAGCCTTCCTTTGATCACCCAACCCGTCCCTTCCTCTGCGCGTGGGTATGAACGAGAGCGCGGTTACGGTGGTGGAAGGTAGACGTATGACTTTTCCAACGAGCACGTAGCTTCCACCTCACTGTCCCCTTAGGGATGAATGGCTTATAGGCTACAAGGCGAAGGGCACATCACCAGTGAGGCCAACACATTTTAAAACCTGAGAGGACAGAACAAGCAGATTTTTAGCCTTCTTCTTCTTTCGACAAACCAGTTCAAACCGTAAGCTTCGACCATTGTGAACAACGAATGATCGTAATAAATAGTGAATCTCAAATGCCTTTTCAAGACCCAGAACGTTTCGTGCGTATCCTTGGTCTTTTAAGTAAGTGTGATTTTTGTAGTCCAAAAAGACGAGAATCGAGCGAAGCAGATGCTGCTCGCGGTATGCCTGGCTGCCTTTCCTTGTGATGTTTATTGGGGAGGAGCATAGGAGCATACGTCGCCACCCGTTTGTTGGGAAAGTACAAATTTCGGAAGCGCCCGCAATCCCTTTCATTGAATGGCGACGCTTATGCCTAGCCCCTTTGTGTGACAACGCGCCATAACTTGGGCTTTTGGAGTGTTTTGGGAGCAATATTCATCGAGAGGAATGCCCGAGAATTCGTCGACTAGTGCTCTTGGGAGAATAGAATTAGATTGCATCCGAAGCGGGGAAGGAAACGTTTAGCGTGACGACTTCTTGTAAGAACAAGCTCCCATGGCCCGACTTAACATATACTGACACGGCCTATGACTTCTTCGAAATCGGAAAAACAGAAACATCTCACTTTTCAACTAAGGACCTTCACAGTTGAATGGACAGCGAAATCGGAAAGTCGACTGTCTCCGAGTAACAGTTAAAAAGGAAGCTATTCGTCATGTTGAACACTTTTGTCATGTGCGCCAGCAAGACGACTGTTCTCTATGGTTCACTTCTAAGAGTATAAGGCAGTTTCACTGTAAACAGTAAGATATGAGTTTTGGTACATATACTGTCAATAAAATTAGCACGAATTACTGCCTCCATGTATCGAAAAGTAATGTCTAAGTAATTTCATTACTTTTAGAAAGTAATTTTAATGTAATGTCATTACTTTTAATCTACAGCTATTTGTAATGTAATTTAATTACATTTTACAGCTTTCGGAAAATTAATTACTAATGTAACTTAATTACTTTTTTAACGTAATTCTGCCCACCGAACACAGGGGCACTCCGCTGTCATCGCACGTGTCGACCGAACGACCGCCGCGTTCTTCGATGTCACGCAGAGTTAAGGGGCACTCCAACTTGCGGCGTACTTTTCGGCGCATGATCAGAGCCGTTTATTCGCAACTCTCACGGCATATAGCTATGGTGTCTGGAGCGCGTCTCCGAGCGGTGTGTTTGTTTACCGCGCCGAAAAAAATAGTCTCTCGATTTCCGCGTGATGACGTCATAAGAGTGTCACGCTGTCGCCGGTCGCGATCCTGGCGGTGTTCCAGCAGCGGTGATGGATGTAGCAGACACCTGTTCTGCTGCAGGTAGCTCGCTGGTGTGACAGTCCACGGAAGCTTCAGCACCCAGAAGTTGGCACGCCGCGACGACAGCGACACTTGCGTTCGCTCCTGCTTTTCGCCAGTATTTCTACGACCAACCGCCAGGATCGTGACATACGACAGCATGACACTCCGGTTTCTGTGACGTCACTTGTTGCCACGTCTGGACCACGTTTGTTGTATGTGCGAGATAGGACGTTAAACACACCAGTCGGAGACGCGCTCTGGGCACAAGATTATAGAGGATACACTAGATCCTATCGAAATGGCTGTCATCTGAATGATTCCCGGGGATCAGGAGTACATTTGGCCCGGGACGCGTGAACTTTTTTTATTTCGTGAAATACGAGCCTTACCTGCTCGTTCTACATGAGGAAAATGTAAGTGAGTACTTCCATTTTGAGGCCGATCCTCCGGGAGCTAGGTAACGCGATTCTCACACTGCGGTACAACCATCGCTGAAAATTGCGAATATTCTCAGAGTTGGGCCCATGGGCGGAGCACGTGACGCGATAGAACAGACCGGCCGTGATATAACGAAATATAGTTTGTTATCTTATCGAGAATCGGTGTTGGTTTGTTATCCTTCAACAGCGCCAGCCGGCGGAGAAAACGTGCAATGGCCCGATCGTCAGGCTCGCTTAATCCGTCTATACTTCGTTTCAGCTTCGGTCCGAGCGCGGCCGATGTTATGAGCCAAAGGGCCAATCAAACAGCGCAAAAAGCGCAGCGTCATGGCGTGCTCTCTGCGCTTGATAGGACTAGCCGGCGGAGGAGCGCGCACAGAGAGACGGCGAATACCGGCTGGTCCTATCAACTGCAGAGAACACGCCATGACGTTGTGCCTCTTTCGCTGTTTGATTGGCCCTTCGGCTTATAACATGGGCCGCGCTCGGACCGAAGCTGAAACGAAGTATAGCTTCGTTCTGATGGAGCCGATGAAGTGGCATTAACAATTCATCGTCACGGCTCATGTCGTCTGTGTGTGTATGGCATCACTGGCTAAATCGCGCAGACAAAATGTAGGATTGCGGCGCATTCACTGCGCGTGATTAGCTTAGACCGTGATTTCATACGCACAAGAAGCACCGTGACGATGCGATTTCGGAAATGATTGACTGGGCTATATCGGTTCGCAGCGTCGGTTAAGGACGGGTTTAAAGTTAACGGAGTGTTGCCGGCGTTAGTAGAATCAGAAGTTAAAAGAGTAAACAGCCGAACTTTTCCAGTAGAAACGGCCATCCACGCGACACCATAAATGCAGAGCATGTACACTAACGCTTCGATGTCTTGCAAGAATAGGTTTCTTAATGTATCGTTTCAAAATTTGCTAGAAGTGCAGCTAGGTGGCCAAAGCTTGAAGGGAAAATACGAACGGATAAACTTGCCCCGTTCGCGAAAAAAAAAAAAAAAACCCCGCTTTGGTCTATCTGCGGCGGCATTCGCGTGCGAACGTCACGATCGTGCTTGAAACGGTGCGTTTTCAAGCAAGTGAGTGAGTCAAAATGAGTTCTCAAAGCTGGTGAGTGCTTTTGCAAACAGGATGTCCGTCGGTAACAGAGAGTTTCAATTTTCGTTATTTTCGACACTTGACTGCTAGCATAACTATTAATAACGCCATTATGCTTAGATGTGCAAAGAATAGCCTGGTACGTTTGTGTTTAAATTAGCATTTATTTTGAAGATTACACCATCCATTTTTCTTCAGTGCAATCGCATATATTGCTGAATGCCGTTCTGCAATCAGACTGCAGGGAGGTAGTTAGGGCAAAATCTTTGAAAATGCATTTGTTTGGAATTGATAATGCACCACAGCTAGTCTGTCGCTACTAGAAAAACCGCCAAATAGAAACACAAGTACAATAAAAAACCTAACAGGAAAGGCGCACTCTTGGAACTAAACTTAATTAAAAAAAATGCACACTAATAAAAAAAATATTATCATATTTATGCTGGCACGAGTCTTCTCGTAAGAAATCGAACTAAGACCGCGGTAGGGCAAGAGGATCCTCGCTAACGCAGTCACCCTTCTGCGTTCTTCGTACAGACTCATATGCTTCCCTCAAAGCCCTTTTTTTTTTAACATTTGCCATGATCACACTGTCATAAAATGACGGGGAATAAATGCATCTACCACAAAGTGAGCACGACGCGTTTGTAGGAGGAACACAAGGAGACGACTGCTTTATTGAGGCCTTTAAAGCACTTTTTAGCTTTGGTTGCGAAGAGGCGCTTTTGCTTTACGGATTGAGATTTTGAGCAATATTGGTATTAAAACGCATATCTTCAATGTTTTCTACGTCAGGAAGAGGATAATTGATGGGTTTTTTGAGGAAATCAATTTCAAAAATGGTACTTTTTGGTTTTCGCATAATATTAGCGTAAACATACCGCAAAGGATAATTTATACAGCCCAGCCATTTTATAATACATATAAAGAACGTGTTTTGGGCTCTCCGTGGACACAAAAAATATCAATGTAACCCAAGAAGATCGCCAGTAATTAATTGTCAAAGTTCGTCAACAATTGACCGAGGGGTCATTTTTGACATTTTTGCAGAAAAAAAGCAAAACGCCTAAGATTATTTTATGGTATTGGAGCCTTTTAAATGTGTCCCCAGAGTGCTTGAAAAAAATATAATATAATGTGGACTGAAAATCCACGGCGGAAGATCAAGCGAAACATACGACCCACGACGGGTGTGAAAAACACTGCTTTTCGCCGCGGCCTCTTTAAAAATTCATAAGTCGAGACCAAAAAATCCGACGGCGCCATAACATATATTTTTACATCGAAATTAAAAATTCGACCCTTTTTGCCTGCACGATTTGAGATTAAACCACCCATATATATATATATATATATATGTATATACTGTCTAGGTGGTGCTAGCCGCCACACTATGTAATATGTTCAGTAATATGCTTTCATTTATCCCCTGACCCCTTATAA